TTCCAAGAATTGGTCTGCAAGCTTCTTAAAAATCTCAATCCTATCCTTCTCTTGCAGCTTTTTTAAAAGTAAGAAAATCCAAGAATTACTTACAGGTGAAACTCGAAAAATTAGAATATCGTGCAAATGTTCATTTATGTCAGTACGGCAACTCAAAAGGTGAAGCCAATATATGAGATAGACGCATTACATGCAAAGCGAGATATGTCAAGCCTTACTTTGGTATAATTGTGATGATTATGGCGTACAGCTTATGAAAACCCCAAATTCACAATCGCCATACTGACATAAATGAACATTTGCACGATATTCGCCATACTGACATAAATGAACATTTGCACGATATTCGCCATACTGACATAAATGAACATTTGCACGATATTCGCCATACTGACATAAATGAACATTTGCACGATATTCGCCATACTGACATAAATGAACATTTGCACGATATTCGCCATACTGACATAAATGAACATTTGCACGATATTCGCCATACTGACATAAATGAACATTTGCACGATATTCGCCATACTGACATAAATGAACATTTGCACGATATTCGCCATACTGACATAAATGAACATTTGCACGATATTCGCCATACTGACATAAATGAACATTTGCACGATATTCGCCATACTGACATAAATGAACATTTGCACGATATTCGCCATACTGACATAAATGAACATTTGCACGATATTCGCCATACTGACATAAATGAACATTTGCACGATATTCGCCATACTGACATAAATGAACATTTGCACGATATTCGCCATACTGACATAAATGAACATTTGCACGATATTCGCCATACTGACATAAATGAACATTTGCACGATATTCGCCATACTGACATAAATGAACATTTGCACGATATTCTAATTTTTCGAGTTTCACCTGTATTTGTATGTTGCCCTCCTTTTCTGAGCAAGCAAACAGGTTTTCCATGCAGAAGATGCCATTTTCAAGTGTGTGCTTAAAATGTTAGTAGTGGAAGGTACGCATTTAATTTAAAGCTATAGAAGCTCCCTCTGTTCGAGGGAAATTTACATTGTAAGAACATACAATGTACATCAAACATTGTTTGAAATACCTACAGTGAACACTCAATCGCACTCTGTTCTATTGGAGTTAAAAAAATGAGTAAAATTCTGCTCCTCTATCATTTCCACCCAATGGTTCAAGTCCAGCTCCCTAGAAAGAACAAAAAAGAACCCCTTTCGGATATTTGGAGGCTGTTGTCTCACCTTATCCTTCTATTCTTCCATCTAAACACCATCGGTTCCCTCAAAGGAGGTTGGACTTCTGGAACGCCCAATCGATCTGTGCTTCTGTCGAAGGCTTTCGTGGCCGGAATACGATGGCTGGTGGGTCTTCCCCCACTGGTGGCGGGCTGTGTGGCCGTGTTCTGGAAGTTTTGTTTCCTAACGTTTCGCCAGCATCTGTGACCGGCATGTTGCCCTCTGAAGATGCCGGTCACAGATGCTGGCGAAATGTTAGGAAACAAAACTTCTAGAACACGGCCACACAGCCCAAAAGACCCACACCAGCCATCAATCTGTGCTTCTGCTTGCCAATATTCTTTCTTACAGTTTGAATTTGCACAATATGCTCTACCAGGCTAACAGGGAATTGGATATTATTGCTTAAAACAGTTTGGATGCCTGAACTGGTTTTTCCAGCAGCTACAACGCACTGCAAACCACACTATTTAAGGGTGCACGTCACTGGTATGTTTGCTTCCAAAGAAAAATTATCCTCTAAATCAGTGTTTGTCACCCTTGGCCACTTTAAGACGCGTGGACTTCAACTCCCAAAATTCCCCAGTCAGCCATGCTGGCTGGGG